AGGGGAGCAACCTGGGTCCACTTTTGTTTTAATCTTTGTAAATGGCATTGTATTTTCGGTAAAAAATTCTAGAATGCTTTTATTTGCCGACGATATAAAGATGTTTCGTCATGGTTAGTTCGCATTCTGAATGCAGACGGTTTCGAGGCGATGTGGATAACATAGTTAGGTGGTGCTTTAATAATGATCTCGTGCTTAATGAACATAAAACACAGGCTATAGGTCTCTGTAGAAAGCGAAAGCCCCTCGCGTTCAGTTATATCTTAGATGGCGTCGTCATCAAACGAGTGAGTGTTGCTCGTGATCGTGGAGTTTTTATAGATAAGGCGTTGAATTTTAATCATCACGTGTCGGTCACATGCAACGCATCACTTAGAACATCGAGAGCAATTTGAAATTTCATGTTCCACAAGACAATTTTCTTTCTACGCATGTAGCTCGTTTATTCTGTCGTCTAATTCGCTCAAAAATCGAGTTTGCATTTATAGTGTGAAATTGTATAAATGATACAGCATCTTGCTCTATCGAGCGTGTACAGAAGCGTTTTATTCGCATCGTTTTCGATGTTTTTTTTTTTACGTACTTTTTATTATTTTCACGATCGGCTGCTCAGGGAACTTGGTTTATGTACAATGTCTGAAAGACGGCGTTGTCGGGATATCTTGTTTTTACACAAACTTGTCAATGGGCTTGTCGACTGTCCTCTGTTCATTCTTTCATTCTTGTGTCTAGGAACAGCCGAAGCCTGAATGTTGGTGCACACAAATACACTCTTTGCACAAAAAGGGAACACAAAAACATTGATCCTAGTAAAGCTGAATGCTTGGGGCATTTTAAACGAGCGTTCACTGTCTACGATATCAATCTCCGCGCTGAGTACATTAAAATTCTTTTGAATACGCAACATGGCGGAAAGTGAACAAAGGTCTTGCACATAGAATGTGTTGGGGTTGCGACTGCTCACGCGTGGAACGGATCAAGAGAGCAGAGACACAAGCTCAGAACAACTTAATGTTCTATGCACAGCTTTATGCAAAAATATGTTATCTCGAAAATTTCGCCGAGCTACTAATGTCTGCAAATTCATCCTGTGTAACATTGACTCGTGACTGAAAAAAAAAACTGCCGGCCGTATTAATGGTCGTACACAATGCGTGCCAGCTTCCTCTGAACATATTCTAACCTCTCAGAGCCTGCCACGCTTCAAACTGTTCCAAACCACGGAGCCGAACATGTACAATAGAGGTATAAAGCTTGTGAAGCGCTGTATGTTTTCACGCCCTACCACGTTTGAGCCGTTATCGCAACTTTTTCTATCCGTCCACGTTTTTTCACACGTCTCCCCTAATACGAATGCAGCATGATTTTAACAAGTTGGATTGTTCGCTCCAGAAATATTTAGTGACAAGTCAACTTTTCGGCGTAATCTAGAGAGTATATTGTTTGCATGATCTTGCACATAGAACGTGTTGGGGTTGCGACTGCTCACGCATGGAACGGATGAAGAGAGCAGAGACACAAGTTCAGAACAACTTAAAGGAGCTGTGCAAGTTTCAGTGTTGTTGTCTCGACCTTTCTGAAGTAAAGAACAAAAAACCGCTTTTGCCTGCATGTCCTAGTTTTAATTTTAAAAATGGACAAAGATTGAGGTTTTCGGCACCTCTCAGCCCCTTCGCCATCTTCCAAGTCACGTGCGCTGTGATGTCAATGGGAGTTGCGCGGGGTTCCGGTGAAGCTCTCTCTCTAGAGCCATCAGTCAGCAGCGAGAAATCCGGTCGCGATCGCGTGACCACGTGCTGGCGGGCGCAGCGCGAACGATATGGTGCGGAGGAAAGTCTTATCCGGGTCCGGCCATGATCGTCCAACCCTGTCCCCCTCCCCCTCCGGTTTCTGTTTGCGGTAGCAGATAGAGCTGACGGTTTTGTGGACCTAGGATAGGTGGCGCCACTAAACTCCGTATAATAAAAGTTTTGTCGATGATACCAGGTTTTTAACGCATTTATATTTATGTTGGAACGACAAGATTTACAGACAAGTTACCTTTTATTGAGCAGGTATTCGCACTAATTGCTATCTTTCTACAAGACCCCCATTGACGTCACGCCGCGTGTTTCTCATGGCCGTCGCTCGCGGCTGCAGGTCGGGGAATATTCTGTTTTGCCTCGCGATTACGCGGCGGAATTGCAACATTTCGAAGGAAGGAGGTGTGTTTTGTGTCTTTTGTAACAGGGTGAACAATGTCAAAAGTAGAAGATGCCAATTCTTTCAACGTTAAAATCGTTGCACAGCTCCTTTAATGTGCCATGCACAGCTTTGTGCAAAAATACATAATCTCGAAAATTTTGCCGAGTTACTAATGTTAGCAAATCCATCCTGTGTAACAATGACTAGGGGTGTCGCGAACTTTTGTCGAACCAGATTTTTTTGTCGAACTTTCGGGCTTCGACTGGGTCGAACCGGTTCGACGAACCTTCGACCTTTTTACCAGATTCGACCGGTTCGACTTTGTGGACAGTGTGGCCAGACCTTAATACAAGCATGTCTACGTTTGGATTTTTTTTTTCTTTTTATGGAAAGGCCTATTTTATATTGTGAACAGGTGCAATTAAAAGAAACTAATTCTAATAAATGAAGAAGTCAATAACTTAATTTTTAGTACTGTATTAAAGGGGCGGTGCAACCATTTGCGGATTTTGGCTAATTAATTGCGGAAATTGATCCCGGCCACATAAAAAACGAAGGTCCTAAAACTATTCTTTCCTGCTTGCCCTAGTTTTAATTAAAAAAAAATAAAAGAAATTGGTACCTCTGGCACCCCTCAACTGAACGTTGAAGCGGCACCAGCTTCGCCTGTGACGTCACTCGGAGTGGCGTTGGTTTCCGGTTGGGTTCTTCTGGCTTCCGTTTCCCCAGCGCTCGCCGGCTCGCCGGGCTCGCCGCTCTCCCGCCGATTCTCGACCAACATGGCGGCACGGGCGGACAGCCTGAGCGACGTCGAGCGCAAGATGCTTGCGTATAGTAAGTCTTGGACTTGTGCGGCGGACAGTCGACGCGGCCGGCGGTCGACGCGGCGGGCAGTCGAAGTCGAGGTCGAGACACCAGGAACACTAACGATACCACGATACTACGGACCACGACCAACGCACTCCGTCGAGCGAGGGAAAGACAAAACGTCTGGGTTGCTCGTGTAGCCGCCGTAGGCGCCTCGGGCGTCGACGGATGACGGCAGGTTTTGTTGACTTGCGGTAGATGGCGCCACAAATAATTCATTCCCTTTTAGCGGCAATATTGGGCTTCTGAAGCGTTTCTGCATGCCTAAACAACAAGATTTTTTAAACTTAACCTTAAATCAAGCTTGCAATTGCCTAACACTATCACTTACAAAAAACACTCCGAATGACGTCAGACCACAGGTTCCATTTGCGGCCACCATGTGGCCGCAGGTTGGGAAAAAAAGCGTTCTTTATTTTGCGATTACGCAGCGAAATAGAGGTATTTTGGGATATGGTGGCACTTTTTCTTTTACTTATGCCGAAGTAAACAATATAAAAAATACAAGCTGCACTTTCGTTCAGTGTTAAAATCATTGCACCGCCCCTTTAACTGAAATAGTCAATCAGCGCTGCACTTTATTCATCTCTTAGCCATTATCATCCAATCCGAAGCCAACTGGCCAGCCTGTCGCGCATGCGCACACGAGTCGAACCTCAATAGAAGGTTTGTCGAACTTTCCACTAAAAGTTCGAAAAAGTCGAACCTGGTCGACCTCGAACCGCGGCCGGTTCGCGACACCCCTAACAATGACTCGTGACTAAAAAAAAAATCCGCCGATCGTAATAACGGTCGTACACAATCTTTTTTTGCACTTTTGAGTTGCTGTATTTGCATTTCCAGTGCCTCTTCTTCTTTTACCTTGCCTTGCTTGTCAGATGTCGCTATCTGTTCTAAGTTTTATTTTGTGAGTGCTTTTTGGGGTTTTCTCAATGATTATACATCTTGTCGACATTTGCTGTGTACCACACAAAAAGCCCTGCGCTGTTTGTGGACACATAAAATAAAGACTATTATTATTATGAAGTAAATAATATATTGTTTAGTCCACCTTGTATAGAAGCAGCAAACGCTTTGATTGCGACGGTAACAATATATATCTCAAAAAGTGAAATTAGTTTTCTGAGTTCCAAATGAATACAATTCGTAGCCAATGTGCGTTGTCATTACGTCTTCATAAAAAAAAAAAAAAAAACACGAAAAAACAAGAAACACGAAAGTATTTTAAAACCCTAATGCTATGACGAAGTAACTAACTCTAACGCGTTACTTCTATTCTTAAGTACCTGTAACTGTAACTTACATTTTGACAAAGTATATTAACTGTAAATAATTATTTCTAAAAAGTAACTTCCCCAAGACTGTCTAAGATACAAGATGTTCATTCTGCGGTAAATTTGACTCGAGCCAAAAAAAAAAGTCAGCCAAAATTTAGGCTCCACCTTGCAGTGAGTACTAGTTTGCTGGTTTAAAAGTTTTTAAAATCTCGTATTCTAGATCATGCTTCTTTTTTGTCTTTGGTATTCACTCGTATTCAGACATCTACAATAATTTTTTTTATATAACAATGCATTTCAATCTCTGTATTTTCGCCCCAACAAAATGTATTCCGGTATTTATATTTCCAAATACTTTTCCATTCTTCAAATATATTCCTGTTATGTTTCACCATCGTTTTTATAAACGAATTTTAGTATAAGTATTTTTGTTCTTTTTGTCATGTATCCCAGTGTCGGTATTTCCAAATACCTTTGAGAGTATTTCTACCCAACCCTGAACATTCAATGAGGAACTGGGACTGGACTGCGCGCACTGGTCAAAACTGAATTTCTTAGCCAACTTGTTCTGGGCGCCGTGGTCCAGCGAGCGCAGCGCAATGGAAAGCGTCGAAGAAAACAAACAAACGTGGAAGTCATACAAAGAAGGCATAAGACGAAGAAACAAGGCAACAGGATTTCCCAAGTTTATTACAAAAGTGCCGATCAGGTCGCGGTACAGCGCAAACACCATCCCGACGAAAAAGGAACATTTGCCAACACTCATGCACAGGCAGAGTGGGTACACAATGGAATCTGACGAAAGGTTCGACCAGAGTTGTCAGAGGCGGTAGAAAAGAACATTAAAAAATAGACAAAGAAGGGAATGTCAGGGCAGTGACTTGAGCACTCGATTACGCGACTGCAAAAGAGGGCAAGCAGCGCTAATAGACGAAAAGTGTTTGCCTGGCAAAGCTGCCGCTTCCCCGCTCAATGCAAAACCATCAGTGCGCGCCGCTGCCGTCGCAAAAAGAACGCGTCTTTAAAGGGAAGAGCGACGCGGTATATCTGCTCCATATGGAAACTGTCGACAAGAACAGGGACGTCGCCCAAACGTGCTCAAAAGACAGCGTGCGGTTGAACTACCCGCCGTAACCCGCTGTTCCTTGGACGCTTTCAGTCCCGATCTTCGGGACCTTCATCCGAACCCCGCAAACGACATCGAGTAGTCTGAATTCGCCCGACGAGGGCGCCCGTTCCCCCTTCTGCATCGGAATCTGGTCACGTGGTGGATGAAGCACGGAGCTGTTCAACCCGGAGACAACGTTTCGCGGCAATGCAACCGAATCGAGGCCGGATGCGGTTGCGGACCTGAAGCGCCGTCTAAAGGTCGATTCACACATTCGCGTCGGGTCGGACCGAGACAGCAAGATTTTTGTACCGTCGGTTGAACCGACTCGGATCGTGACGTTCACGACCTACGAAACACGCTTTAGATTTTCTCTTCGCGTAATGACATTCGGAGAAAAAGAAATTATAGAAAAACAACTAATCGCCAACATTGCGATTCGCGCGCGACTGTGCGTCATCGAGTTTTACGACTCGACGAAAACGTTTGCTTTTATCCTCGAAATCAAGACGCGACAACGAAGCTTCCGCGGGTAAGTGGTGCGCGCGATCCGAGTTGCATTACATAGCGCCGATATGTCCAGTGTCAAACATTTCAACCAATATCGCGGTGGTCCCTTTTGCCGCTATCATCGCTCTGGCAGTTGCGACAACTCATGGACACGACAACCCAAACATTATATTACGGTTAAAGACTTCGAAACGGCGGAACATAGTGCACAAAAAATACACCGATACCCACAAAACACGGGCGAGCCGTTCGATATAATCAAGTTCGTACAGCAAAACTGTTCGGAGGCTCTACTTTTCAAAGACAGCGATGCTCTAATCGTGAGACACGTAAAAAAAAAACAACGCCGGACGCTATGCGTAAAAGATTTTGTAATTAAAAGGCCATACATTTGAATGCCGCAAGTAGAACGTTCTTCCAAATCCGACATAACGCGGAACAAACAATAAAAACACAATAAAAAACGGTCGAACGAAGCGACAGTTTGATTTGCCACTGGCAATTTCAATAGCGTGTTTTTGAAACAACTTTCGAGACATCCGAATCGCCAAACCGCTCGAGAAGGCTGGCGGGCGAACCTGCGACAACAGCTTGCATGTTCTAACTGCTAACTAGGTGCCGTCGATTTCGCTGGGTATCTATTAATTTAGAAAACCAGTTTCCAAATACGAATCTAGAGCGGTCAGGGAGCGAGCCGTATTTGTTCGAAACATGTTCCCTTCTATGGCAATGAAGAGATCCCATGGAGTCGCACTCTGCACATCATCTGGATTTCCGCAGGAAGATGTCTATATGTAAAAAAAAGCAAAACCCTGCCATCTCTAAAAACAAAACCTACAAAAAAACATCAACAGCAAGGAGGCGTGTTCAGTTGGCGAAAACTTGGCCCGAGGGCAGCCAGACGCTTTTGGTGGAGGTCCCGTGGGCGGCGAAGAGCCTTCCCGAGCAGTGGTCGTCCACTTCCCAGTCGCGGCTAGCGTCCCGCAGCCAGGTGGCCTTGCCGCTGTGCGCGGCCGCCCGTTCGACGAAGGCCGCCGCCAAGTCCGACTCCCCGTGGTACCAGACGGCCGCCAGGTCGTGGTGCTCGGCCAGCGTGCGCACCAGGGGCGCCTCGAGTCCCGACAGCACGTTCACCACGCCCGCCGGAACGTCCGACACAGAGAACACCTGCGCCAGACGGATTTTTACGCACAGCGTGTTTTTAGAGGATCGTTTCCTACTAGCAAATCGCCACCGACGAGCGTCACGGACGAGAGATCCGTTGGGAACGTAAAACGCCGTTCACACTCTTGCGACCGAGTACGACCGAGAGAGACCAGACCGGCTTTTAAGCCTTTTGCGGCTTCTTAGGACCGGGTGCGCTGCAGCGGAGCTGGTCCTAAGAAGTCGCAGGAGGCTTAAAAACCGGTCTGGTCTCTCTCGGTCTTACTCGGTCGCAGGAGTGTGAATGGTCCTTTACAGACGCAACAAAGATGAAACGTTTACAATCCCCTGTAATGTCGAATTAGAGCTCAGCTGTTGAGGAGGAGGAGGGAGAGTACGAAGAGGAGGGTATGGCCCTGCTCTTCCTCCTCCGATTCCCTGTAATGGCGAATTAGAGCGCAGCTCTTGAGGGGGAGGAGGGGAGGGTACGGAGAGGAGGATATGCCCTTGCTCTTCCTTCTCCTCTCCTCCCTTTAACAGTACAAAAATAACACTAAAATTGCACATTTTTTTGTCGGGTGGAGGTGGAGCAGTACCTCACACATGTGGAGAGCCGACAGCGGAGAGCTCTGACTGGCCAGGGCCACGACCGTGTTGCCCGTCGCGAGGGCTGCCGCCACCAAGGTGACGAAGGACAGCAGCGGGGCCGAGTCGGAGCACACCACTCCGATAACACCCAGGGGCTCCTTGATGCTCATCACGCCGCCCGAGGACGTCGCACTCTGCAAGAAAAAAGGAGACGGGGGCCTCTACAAAGAGCACCGGGCACGCTGAGACACAAGTCTCTCATTTGGGCCACCTAAGGACCATGAAGTTCTCAAAGCGCGGTCCGGGAACCTCCAGGAATCTGCGGCGACACTGTACTGAATCCGAAATCGCTCCACCGTGGATCGGCGAGTCCCACGATTCCTTTTTCTATTATTGAAATGTTGAGGAACCCCAGAAGTCGCAGGCAACACCAGCGCCGGTACGGGATTTGAACCCACCAGCTGGGGATACGTATCTCATGACCTCCTGTACTCTTGACCGGCACGTTCGGTGGCTCCCATACGAGAGACCGCTAGGACGTTTGCCGATCTCTGCTGTTAGGAGCGCCAGCACCGTATCATGAGCAGCAACGCGGGATTGAAAGGATATAATTATAAATGCTGTACTTAAAAAAAAAAGATAAAAAGAAAAGGTTTACTATTTTTTGTAATGCCGAATTAGAGCGCAGCTCCTGAGGAGGAGGGTATGCCCCTCCTCCGCACCCTCTCCTCCTCCCCTCCTCCTCGCTCTCCCCCTCCTTCATCCAACTCCTTCCTCCTCTCATTCTCCTCCCCCTCGTCCTTCCCCTTCCCGGCTCCCCCTCGTGAAGTGGTCACGTGAAGGTCTTGGCCCTCAGTTCACGAGGGGGAGCATGGGAGGGGGACGAGGGGGAGGAGGAGGGCAGGAGAATGAGAGGAGGGAGGAGAAGGGGGAGGAGGAGGGGGGTAGGAGGACGTTTCGTTTACTGTGAAGGTCGTAACCTTCGTCGTGAGCTTCACGCGTGACGTCGCGTGTTACGTCATTGTGGCAAATATCCCATGATGCAACGCGCAGGACCCGCGTGACGTCACGTGTGACGTCATTATGGGAAACGTGCCATAATGTAACGCGCGGGCCACAAGTGAGACCCGCGCGTTGCATTATGGTACGTTTCCCATAATGTAACGCGCAGTGACGGGGACGGCGACGCCGCTCAAGCCGTAAAGGGGCGCCTAAGAGCTGCGCTCTAAAAAAAGGAACAGCAGGTGCGTCAGGGTGTTTAAGCAACCATCGAAAGAGACGACTGGTCTCTCCGCTCCAGAGGTTCGAGTTTGGTCGACGCGAGATCTAATTTGCCTCTTCCGGAGCCAGCAAGATAGCGTTCATAGACGGTTTGTCCGGTAACGTGAGCGAAGAACGCGGTTCGCCTGTTACTAAACGTCATTTGCGGACAAAGACAAAAAAGCAGTACGTTGTTTGTTAACATACCGGGAAAAAGTTGATCATCCGCTACAGACGACGCGGCAAAGTGGGACCAGACGCATGCTGAAATTTGGATCTTCTGCTATTTCACATTGGAAGCACTTGACATTCCGCGCTTCGTCTGCGACTCTCGGGTTCTTCTGCTGCCGCACACTAGCCGACATCAACAGATGGATGAAGGAGTACCATGGTAAGCACATTAGAGGCCGCGACCCCTTTCTCGCTATCTGTCTGTGTGTTTGTGAGACGTCGCCAAATGTTTACCCGATTGTGAGCTTGTGAAGGGGTGAAAAAACGTCTCATTGGCTGAGAACGCGCGAGCTGTGGCACCACGTCCAATCGGCAGCCGAAAGCGCTCTCGCTCCCACCTCGACCAAAATCGGGCCCCAGACGAACCCTTTGACCGGGGCGGTATGACTGTTCCGCACAGGCATCAATGAGGCAGTAGCAGTAGCGATTCGACCAAACACAGATTCTCAGCCAGATCGAAACGGGCAGATGAGCGAAAGGTTCCAACCCGGGACTCTAGGGTCTGTACCGCGGGCTTTGACTATACGCTTACTCGGACGTCAAGAAGAGCGCCAAGTCCAAAGGTGCCACGGTTAGGAAAAAAAAAAAAAAAGCCTCAATCGAGAAATCGGTCTCAACAGCCAGTTTGGCTACGCCATCGCTGCCGCAATGCATCGAAGGAACTTTAGTCATTACACGTGCGGCAACCTCGTTGGAGCTCTGAGTATGCAGAGCACGAGAAGGCACGTACCGTCTTGAGCACTGCAACCTGGGTCCTATGATCTAAAGTTACTGCGGCTTCACACGTGCGTTGAGGGCTTGGTGAGATCGGTCTATTTGTGCCGCATCACTACTGGTTCTTGGGTGCAAGGACCCTCCAGCGGACAGAGTACGAATGCGGTATTAGACTCGAACCCTCGCGAACCTAGTACGGCGGCATTTCTATAGGGGATACTGTCCAGACCGGTTCTAAAGAAGTCAACGGGAAACGGAAATCACTTCGCTATATCCGATATTTCGTTATAACCGACTTTGTAATAACCGGGCTCAACAATATTCAATGGACGCCATGCTCAGAACAAGCTTACATTAGTAGGCTGCTAAGACCGGTAATCTTGATAGTGTAGAATGCACGTTGCAAAAGAACTGTGGAAGCTCGCCGTAAGTCAGCACGCGCTCATCAGTCGTGCACACAGTTATGGCCGTCATAAAGCAATTATACGGAGTGCAAGTTCGTCTGCTCCTTGCGGACCCAGTAATGAAGGAGCACTTGACCATTTGTAGCAGGTTCATACAAACATATTGGTTTGGAGCAGCCAGTAATGCTTTTGTAGCAGATGCCAAGATCTGTTAGCACACCACTTGAGAATGAAAAAGTGATTGCACCTCTAAATGAGTTCATTTGTGATAGTGATCAAAGGTTCCTCTTTGAAACTGGAGCATATCAGTTATTACCATTTGTGATAAGAATAAGTAGGGCAAAAAGGAACAGAGTCCTCTTAAATAGGGCTCTAGTCAGAGTATGTTTCATATACAGTGGGTATTAAAAAGTGGTTTAAAAGTGAATCATAGCGCAACACTTCATTGGGATAAATACTCTCTCCCCTCCCCATTTTACACTCGGTAGTTTGTTTAGCTTGCAAATATAATTTCTGTAAAATGCCATCAAGCACCAGCATATTGTCAGGATGAAGGTGACCAGATGATGAATAGAGAACTGAAAGTAAAGATTTAATCGGCAAACTTGTGTCAAAAAAAAAATAGCGTCGAGACAGCAGAAAAGCGGGCGGCGATTTGGCGGCGTAACAGCAAGCGAGAGTGCGACTGACTCGGCAAGGTCTCGCGCAGTTGCTTATCTATTGTCCATTGCAGCCTAAGAACGAAGGGCTAGGATAAGACAGGCCGGGGACGAGGAAGCAGACGGAACGCTAAAGAGAGAAGGAGGTTTCCCCCTCTCTTCTCCAGCGTTCCGTCTGCTTCCTCCTCCCCGGCCCGTCTTACCCTCGCCCTTCGTTCTTAAGTTGCAACGGACTATAGTGTGCGTCACCATCTAGAATATTCGGCCCAGAAGGTTCGAGCCTTGCGCGTTCGGGGTGAGAATGAACAGGCCCTTTCGAGAACAAAAAAGCAGGACGAAATGATAAAAGTTACGTCCCAAATAAGAATAAACGCGAATCTTCCAGAAGTCCGTGACCGAGCGTTGCTTGCTCGGCCCTGCGCGTGGCAATTCCACTAACACGACTACCAATAAAAATGCGTCCCGCAAGCTTAATGAACCTAGCAAATTGAAGACTCTTAATATCATACACTGCAAAAACAACCGTCAGAAACTATGATAAAAGGCTATACTTGCGCTTTAAAGGTGACACTGCTCTTTAGCGGCGTAGGAACCAAAGTTACCTAAAAGTTCGCTGCTCTTTCGATCGAGAGCTGCACGGGATCTACCATGACTACCATATTCATTCAAACACATATAAACCTGTGTTTTCTTCTCTCCCTTACTCTGCTCAAGTTTTCATTTAAATTAGAGATTAACTTACAATTAGGACGAAGAAGGTCGACCTGTAGTAATCATGCGCATAATTTGCGCGAAGCCAGGCGCACCGCCAAGTCAGCCGCTGCTCCTAGCACTCCGGTGCAAAGCGGTGAAGCTTGACGTGCACAGCTGGTGAGAGGCGGTGAAGGTTGACTGACGCAAACGGTGCAAGTGCCACGGTATACTCTGCAGCCACGGAACGAAGGCATGATCAGCCTCCTAAAAAGTAGCTGAAAAACGCAAGTACTATCGGGGAAAAATGAAATGCGAACAGGGGAGCGCGCGGCTCGCGGTACAGGCCGCCCCATAGCCGCTCATTTTTGTGCTGCGTCACCATTTGCTTCCAAACGTCGCACGAGGCACGCGCTCGTGCATTGGCGTACTTGATGCCGTTTGCAAGACAAACAAACATATCAAACGGCTTTACTGAGGGTGTGAGACTCTTCCGTGTAACCTATAGGGACACGCGGAGCGCGAGGTGGCACGCTCTTACCGCTAGATTGGCTGCATAGGTCGTGGCATCGTCCTCGGTCATTCTAAAATTGAAGTTAAAAGCTCGTCGCACGGCGGTGAGATGTTGCACGTTGCCATGGCATCACTACGTTACGCAGGCGTCGCCTCTCATTTGTGCTATTTCATGTGTGGTGCAGCAGGCAGAAATCTCACACAGACCATTCTCCGGCAAAACGGCAAAACTGATCTCGGCGGTGTCAAGCAGAGTCGCTGTCCGTGCAAGCTCGTGAGAACAGCAACACATGCAACAACAAATGCTCTGGTTTGGGGCATTTAGTACTGGTAGGTGTCGCCATCTATAGCTAAACCCTTTTAAACTAAATATAGCGAAAACTGTTCTGTCAATTTTATTTACACAAATACGCAAATATGAAGACATTCAGTCTTCCCGTCAAAATCTTAAAATTAAGACGGGAGCACCGTGGACGGGAGACACTAGTACGTACTACCGATCGTTTTGACATTTATATCTTATAAGTAATTTTAATTTCAAAATTGCCTCAAAATGCGCTCAAAACAGTCAAAATAATCCTATTTCTGGATTTTATTAAAAATCTTCGGCGCTTTGAGGGAAAAATCTAAGATTCGTACAACCTTCATTGGGCCTTCATAATTAACCTCCAAAAGAATGAATACTCCCGTGCATCCCTGAAACTCGGGTTTGTGCAGCGAAAT